CCCAACCCAACCAAGGGTCAATTCAGTGACCAATCAGGATTACAGGTGTGACCACATGACATGAACTACATTTCCCAGGATGCATTAATTGCATTTACCATGAGGCATTCCCTTAAGGGGACAGCTCCCAATTCTAACTTAATTATCACAATTCCCATGACCTATATACTGTCTGGACAGCACAGGCACACACACCCCATTAAGGATACCCCTTAATTATTCTCCCTTCCCCCCAAAAGGAGAAAATAGAACGTTTAAATTTGCACAATAGTCTAAATAAAACACTTTCAATAACTATAGAGCAAAAATAAAAATTAAATTTGAAACACTTATGTGACATTGTATTGAGGCCCAGAGAGTCGCGGTCCCAGTAGCTTTATCGTTGGCCACGAAACCATCGTCCACTGTGCGTGGTCCATGAAGATGAGGGCGCATCAGCAAAAGTTTAGCACCTGGGCCAACGTGAGACCTGGAACGGGCGAAAATATCCCCTTACCGAAGCATCCCGTCTTCATGCGTTGAGTTTGGTAAAGGGCCATCGGTGGGACTGACGGGTAAATCCACATCGGGCTGTCCGACCTGCGCATAGACGGGCTTCGGTTCTGTTTGGACAAAACGTTGCAGGGAATTGAAGGATGCCCTTCTAATGAAAAGGTTTCCTTGCAGATGTTTCATCGCCCAACTAGGGAATAGGAGGAGGAGGAGGAGGAGGAGGAAGAGGAGGAGGAGGACGATGACTGTGTGGTCCTTGGTGTTATCTGAACTTGGTTGATTTCTTGCAGACATTTCATCGCCTAACTAGGGAACATTATCAGGAGGAGGAAGAGGAGGACTGTAGTACGGTCCTTGGCGTTCTCTAAGCTTGGTTGATTTCTTGCAGACATTTCATGGCCCAACTACGTAACTTCATCAAGGCTAGAGGGGAAGGGAGTTTGCAAAAATGAGGAGGAAGAAGAGGACTGTGGCGTTCTTTGAGCTTGGTTTTTTTTTCCTTGCTGACCTTTCAGGACCCAGCTTGGTAACCTCATCTGTGCTAGAAAGGAGTGGGGTTGGCTCTCTCTTTCTATACAAGCGGCTTGATGATGTTACCTAGTTGGGTAATAAAATGCCTGCCGGGAAACCACCAAGCTCAGAGAGCACCCAGGACCTCCACAAACCAGGAGGCCGCGGCCTATTGTGTACCTTTTCCCTTGAGCGGTGGAATAAAAGGAGAGATACTACTAGACCAACTGCACAATAAATAGCCTTGCATCCCGCGTCACAGCAATTACTGAAGGCAGACAGGGTGGAAGAGGAGGAACAGAAAACATTTGGCCCGTCTCAAGTTCATTACTGTTACACAATTCAGAAATATTAACAACGGAGATTAGGAGGGGCTTCAAACAGCTGTTTACAGAGCTCCTCCATCACCATCTGGCTGCTAATTTGGAGCGTGGGAGACCACAATAAACAGAGGAGTGCAGATAATAGGAAGTTGGAGAGGAAGGTAAATAATGAGAGATTCTCGGATGGAATGTTTGGTTGGGTGCCAGGAGATAATCTCAGCCTTTAATTAAGAACACGCCAATCTGGGTCCATAAATTAGCCGGTTCCGATAAAGAACGAGCTTCCTTGTGTGTATCATCATTCAGACATACAACTGTATAGGTGGGGCCTGTGTGCACCGTTCAAAGGTACAAAGGCAGTGAAAAAAGCAACTTGCGAGCATTTTTTTTTTCACATTTACGACCGTTGTGGCATCCCCACAGTCACGTGATTGGAATTTAAGACCCTTGGCAACGGTGATCCCCATCTGACCGGCGAAGTCCATGGGAGGAGCCAGATTCACTTAACAACTGGGTTGCTAACTGAACAGCTGCAGTGATTTGCTTAACAACGGGGACAGGAAAGGGTGGGGAGAAATCCACTTAACAACGTCTCTCACTTCGCAAGATTTTGGGGTCAACGGTGGTCGTTAAGTCGAGGACTGCCTGTCATCATTAGCGTTACTGAAAGCACCCATAATCCCCTGCGGGGTGGAGTCTTGGCAAATTGAATGGAGCTAGTGTTTTATTGGCCGGATGCCTTTCCTGTCACCGGAGTGGGGTTTTGTTCAGCAGATATATTTCTCATTGTGCCCAGAGAGAGAATTATCTGCCTCTGCCTAGGATTGACAGAGTGCCTCTGTGGCGCAGGGGTTAGAGTGCAGTACTGCAAGCTACTTCTGCAGCCAGCTGCCTACAATTTGGCAGTTCAAATCCCACCAGGCTCAAGGTTGACTCAGCCTTCCATCCTTCCGAGGTCGGTAAAATGGAGGGCAAGAGGCTGACTCTGTCAACCACTTAAGAGAGGGCTGTAAAGCACTATAAAGCGGTATATAAGTCTAAGTGCTACTGCTATTGGACTCTCACAGCTTCCTGATTGTGAGGTGAGAACTCCACCTCCTAGGCCACTGGACCCCGCCTAAGTCGAAGGATTGCCTCCTCTGCAAAAATTAAAGCAACGAAGCGGTGGCTTAATCCTCACCTGGAAGTGGTGGGGTCTGCTTGTCGTTTTTCTCGGCTACGGATTCTTCTACGGCTTTGGCTAGAGACGTTTCCTCCGCATTCTTCACAGGCGTGGAAACTGCTCCCGGCTTGGTTATTCTTTCATCATCTCTACTCCGGTGACTACATCAAGAGAAACAGCACACTCCCTTTTCAAATTGGCAGCCGAAACAACGGGCTCTAACGAGGAAAATCCGGGCATTTCATAAACAAAGATCTTATTGTGTGGGATGTGGCACAAAACGGGGAATAAACAACCTGTTTGGGCTTTTGTTGCTGGAAAAGCGCCCGTCGAAGGCGTCGGAGAACTGGCCCTTCCAGATATGTAAGAGTTTGGACAACTGGAATGGTCTAGGGCAGAGGGCTCCAAACTTGGCAACTTTGAGACGGGTGGACTTCAACTCCCAGAATTCCCCAGCCAGCATGGCTGGCTGGGGAATTCTGGGAGTTGAAGTCCATTAAGTCTTTAAAGTTGCCACGGTTGGACATCTCTGGCCTAGAAGTCTTCCAAGTTCCTAAGCTTCCTGATAGAAATGAGACACTTATGTCCTCCTACAACTTAAGGAATCTCAATCCTTTCTCCAACATTGAAAGAATGTGCTGCCCTTCCCTTTGCCCCCATTGGCTGATTGGGCCCCACTGACCACGCCGCTCCCAAAATATGAAAACTATGTCAGATATCTCAGTGTCTATAATGCTGAAAGATGGAGAGAGAGAGAGCAGATAAAGAACCGATGAAAGAGCCAATGGCATTGTCACAAAACCAGCAATTCGTTGTCCTTCCAGACCCATAAATCTAATGCAACAGAACAGGGACCTTGGAGGTCTTCTAGTCCAACCCCCTGCCCAGGTAGGAAGCCTTCTATACCATTTCAGACCATAGACATCCAACCTCTTCCAGCATTGGAGCACCCACAACTTCTGGAGGGCAAGTGGTTGCGATTGATTAATGGTTCTCCCTGTCAAGAAATTTCTCCTTAGTTCTAGGGTTGCTTGATCAGTCTCCACCCATTGATTCTTGCCCCGCCCTTTGGGGAATAGGTTGACCTCCTCTCCTATGTGGCAACACCCTCAGATGTTGGAAAATGACTATCATGTCCACAACACACAGTCCTTCTTTTCATTCAATTCGACATAGCCAAGTCCAGCAATTCTGTTTTGTATGCTTTAGCCTCCAATCCCCTAATGTGAATCAGTGATGAACATCTCCACACTCTGGATTAGGCCTAGCAGAAGAGAAGCAGCCATGCATACCATCTTGAGGACGTACAACATAAAAAAAAAAACCGAACCTATATTTATTCTAACTCTCCTTCCCAAGCGCAGCTAATCTGCTCGTGTATTGCAATAGCAGAGAATCTCCTCGAGGCTGAGCAGATGCCTTCTCGTTACTCGCTGAATTTGGTTGTCTTCCAGCACGCAGCGCTAATTTATCCTGGGTGAAATAATTACTAGGCAAAGCAAGATTGGTTTTAACAGCTGCTTTGCCCCACAAATGAACGAGAAGGCTACAAAACCCAGCCTAGAACTTGGCTGAGCTCTGACGGAGCCACTTCCTGCAAGCAGAGGGCACCATTACCTCTGCCAAAAATTATCTCAGAAGAGACCACTGTACGCAGCACGCTTCCTTGAATTGACGACTTCAACGGTTGCCTGGTAAACACAACAGTTTCCTGAAAGGTCAAGAGATCTGTACCAAAAGCCATCACCACTGAAGACGTGAGAAGGTACAAGAATGATATGATGATGGTTGCCATTACAAAGATAGGATTATCCTTGCAATGACAATTATTGGTTGTGCGTTCATGTGCTTGGCCTTATTGGTGGCTAAATTGGGACAAAGTCCTAATGCTTTTATGGAAAAACCTGATGATTTCCAAAAGGAAAAAATGAATACTAAATTTCTGGCAGAAAAAAAAAAAATCAGATAGTTTCGTGCAGAAAGGAAAACCTGGAGTAGCTTATGACAAATGTAAGGAAAAACCTAGCTTGATGGAATATTTTTTAATCACCCTGGAATCTACTGCCATCATTAAAATAAATCCTTGTGTTTCATTAAAGCATTTGACTCCTCCTGTTAACGTATCACAGGGCACGTAGGCTGCAATTTTAAAAAGGTATCACCACGTATGGTATTTCTCATAAACCGAGAGCCAGTTTCGTTTAATGGCTAAGGCACCAGGTTAGAAAGCGGGAGACTGTGAGTTCTAGTCCCACCTTAGCCATGAAAGATGGCTGGGTGACTTTGGGCCAATCACCAGGAGACTGTGAGTTCTAGTCCTGCCTTAGCCATGAAAATAATTCGGGTAGCTTCGCGCCAATCTCTCGTTCTCAGCCCAACTCGCCTCATCACAGAGCTGTTGCTGTTGGGATAACAGGAACAGGAAGATGAGATGGATACGTTCGCTGCCTAGAATTATTTGTAAACATAATAAAGGCAGGATACAAATAAATAAACAAAAAACAAGCAAAAGTACAAAACAAACATGGGAAGAAGGGTAGCATTGGCTATCGGGGATCCTATGGAAGATATCTCCTCCAAACGTTGAAATTTTGGAGGGAACTTAACTCCATGTGCACACATGGATGCTGTTCTCCTCAACTCCTTCAAGAGAAAGCAAGGAACATCCAGATAGTCCTTGCCTTACAAACATCTATCTAGCAACCGTTCATTCTGGGAGGCTCAACCTGCTTGTTGTAGTCTTCCAGATGTGCTCTGGCCCCTCCAGGTGTTCCTGGAACACTGCAAACTTCCATAGAAAAACCAAACTACCCAGAATGGCTGGTTGGTTGTCTTCCAGAAGCACCGCGAGGCTTCTGACCTATCCTCCGTGAGTGACACTGCAGCCCTACGATGGCTTGTACAGAAGCCATTCCTTAACAGAGAACGATGTTGAGGAAAACCACCTCAGGAAGAAAAAAAGCTCTTTCAAGTCGTAGAAGCCAAGGTTGCAAGGTCGATCGCCGGAGAGTTCAGGAGCCTCAAAGCTTCTGGTCTCTGGTATGTTGTGATTCTTATATGCTTCTCAGAAGGCACGAACGGCCTGCCAACCCTCAACTCTTCAGCTCTCAAGTGTTTTCTTGAAGAGCCAACACTCAAACGTTGCATCTTCAAGTGGCCCTTGCTCTCCGCTGCACCCACCCTCTGCCTAAATAGGTGAATTATTCTTTCAGGATATTTATGTGGACCACAACTTCCATGGCCTCTATAAAAGCTGATCTGTCGACGTTCCCCAAATCTCCCTTCTCATAGCAAACCTAGCTTGTCTTCTTTCTTAATCTCTCACAGAAGCCCATAAAGTTCGTGCGGAACCCTTCAGCTCTGCGGAAGCCATTTTGAAACAACCCTGGGTTACTCCATCTTTCCACCTGGGGGAAGGTTTCCTGGGTAGGATGAAGCAAGGAAATGTTCTACATCCCACCTGGAGCAGGTCAAATATAGCGTTTCCTCTCCTTGTTGGAGAAGACATGCCCTGGGTAAGCTGCCCAGATCCATCTCTTCAAGGGACACAATAATTAAACCTGGAACCTCCCTTCCACATCACAAGAGTTACCCACAATTCGGCCCAACAGACCCGCAAGAGACAACTCAGATTGCCAGCACCTGCAAATGGTTCTGCCCACACGGTAATCCTGAACATCTTCTGCCCATGACAATTATTTTGTCTACTTATATCCAATTTATTACAACCCCTGGCTAAGACCAATCAAGGAGTAAACTATATAGGATTCCAGATTCTCACCCCACTGGAATCATCTCCATCCACGGAGAATAAAATAAGATTCTTCTGTTAAAAAAATTTTTTTTTTGAATGAGGGGAACCAAATTATATGAATGAACATGGAGAAGAATATCACGGTGAGGACGCTTCCCGGACCAATCCTCAATTTTGAACTTTCTAGGTAAATGTTCGGTTTGGTTTTGCTTTTATTAAAAAAATAATAAAAAAACCAAGGAGGATGCAGGAAGTGTCTTGACACCGTCATTGTTTCTGGATGACAGAATGTTGTTAAAAATTACAGCCACGTTTCCCATGAGTCACCCAAGGTGTGATTTCACTCTGCATTATGTGTTAGCGTTGACTTCTAACATCTGTGCCGCATCAGGAAGGATCTTGGGCCTTTATGAAAAGAGGCGCAACATGGCAATATTCTAAAATAACCTCCAGTCCCCAAACAAGGGAAGTCAGCGAGAGGATGATTTCATCCGGGGCCATTCAGTTCTCGCCCAACGTCCACCGTCCCCCCCATCAAAGCAGGCAGACTCCTACCGTGCAGGACTCCCGTTCTCAGGGGCTCACGCCATCAACCCCCCAAAATGCAAATAATATTTGAGCCTATTTTGTTAAAGACTTGTCTCCATTTCCTTTCCTGAAGGGTATTTCTCAACCTTGAGTGATGCCGGCTGGGGAATTTTGGGAGTTGGAAGTTCACCCATCTTCAGCTCACCAAGGTTGAGAAACACCGACATAGTGACTGCAAAGCCTTCTCGGTAGCACTTCAAGGTCACTGATGGAGCCAATCCTTTTTTTTAAAAAAAAAATTTAAGCCGGGCCTTCCTCAAAATTCAGTGGGAGGGCAGGGGGAATTAATGTTGCCAGATGCTAATTCTCCAAGACCCCTTGGTTGAATCGAGTCACAACCCTTACTTAGTGAAATCAGGAGGGTCAGCAGGATCCAATCTGGGCAGGTCACCAAGACTGGAAGTTTGGGCCTCCGAGCTTTCAGACTCCTCATGCGGGAGCCTCTCCTCAGGCAACTTCTCTCTATCAGAATATCTGATTATCAGCAGAAGATATTCTGGAGAGAGAGAGAGAGAGAGAGAGAGAGACAGAGACAGAGACAGAGAGGGGGGGGAGAGGGAGAGAGGAAGGGAGAGAGACAGAGATGGAGAGAGAGAAACAGAGATGGAGGGAAAGAGAGGGGGGAGGGAGGGAGAGGGGGGAGAGGGATTGAGGGGGGAGAGAGAGAGAGAGAAAGAAAGAGGAGAGAGAGAAGAGAAGAGAAAGAGAGAGAAGGGGAGAGGAGAGAAGAGAGAGAGGAGAAGAGAAAGAAAGAAAGAGAGAGGAGAGGAGAGGAGAGGAGAGGAGAGGAGAGAAAAAAAGAAAGAAAGAAAGAAAGAAAGAAAGAAAGAAAGAAAGAAAGAAAGAAAGAAAGAAAGAAAGAGAGAAAGAAGAGAGAAAAGAGAGAGGAGGGGAGGAGAGGAGAGTAGTTCCCTGAGGATGGTCTCCAGCTTGAATCCAAAAGCACGGAAGACCAAACATTTGGTCTGGGTGACTGACCCAGATTGGATCTTGCAACGTTATCCCAGGACACGTCCGTTTGCCTCCGTTCGTCAGGACAGCCTTACCGCCCCGCGTCTAATTCCCCAAACCCATCCTCCCCTCAGGTAGCATCTCAAGAAGGAACCCTCCGGAAGACCAAATCCGATCTTTGAAAGAGGGGGGTCCGTCGGTCCATCCTGCCACCGAGGTCAACCGGTGGTGCCCCCCCTTCAACCGGTGGCTCCTGCCTTCGCCGTCCTCCCGTCCCTCTTTCCACCAAGACCGTCTATATCAAAAGAGCAGAAGGCGACCGTCACCTGCCATTGTTGGGCTGCTGTGGAGATTGTTCTGACCCCTGGTCAGGAGATCGTGAACGACTGCGACGGGGCCTGTCATGGGATCGGTTGGAATGATCAGATGCCAGCGACTGAATTTCTGAAATGTCTGTTAAATAAAAGTGGAGGGGGTTTTCATGAGATGGTTTAGAAGTAAAAAGATGGCATGACCTTCCCTAAGAATGAACGCAAGCTTGGGCAGGCCTTGGAGGATCTCCACCATCTGCCCAATTTGGTCAGTGGACTTCTTCGGGCATTTCTTCAGCCCTTCCTTCCCCTCGTTCGTTCCACCTGTCGCATCGCAACGACCGACAGCGTGGCAAAAGAAAAGGCAACCGATACTCACCGTCTCTTTCCGAAGCATTGGCCGAGTGGATGCTGTCGGAAAGATCGGGGACGTTCAACAGGGTTGCTCTCTCGTCCCTCTGAACCACCATTTTCAACTTGCCCTTTGACCTTTCTATCAGGGTTTTGGCATCTGTCAAGGACATGTTTTCCGTGACAGTCCCGTTGATCTGCAAGAGAACAAAGACGGGTAGGAGTAACCGACGAGGAGTTACAGTCGACACCAGGGACGTCCAACCTTGGCAACTTCTTCAAGACTTTCAACTCCCAGAATTCTCTCGTCTTTGGGGGAAGTGGCTGGATGAGGAATTCTGGGAGTTGAAGTCTGCCAAGGTTGGTCCTCCCTGATCTATACCTTCATGGCATCTTTGAAGAATTAAAAAGGGTGGGGCGAGGTGGGAAATGCCTCCAGTTTTGTCTAGACCAGCCTGTCCCAATCGGTAGCCTTCTGGAACTGGTGTCCCCCCCCAACCCAGCAAACAATGACAGATAAAAGATGGGAGAAGGTGGGTTTAAGGTTTCCTGAAACTAGGTTAATAATATCCCATCTTTTCGGCCCTTTAAACAGTGGAATTGTTTCCTTTAATACTCCAAAATATAGCTTTTTAAAAAGCTAGACATTTCAAAATAGAGAAAAGCAACTTCAAATGGTGGCTAAGTGAACGGTCGTATCTGGAGGATTAGCTGTATTTTAAACAGAAGAGATGCTCAAACATGAGTATAACAACAAAGAGGGAGGGAGGGAGGGAGAGAGAGAGAAAGAGAGAGAGGAGAGAGAGAGAGAAGAGAGAAGAGCAGAAAGAGAAGAGAAAGAGAGAGGACAGACAGAGATAGGTGAGAGAGAGGAGAGAGAGAGAAAGGGAGGGAGAGAAAGAGAAGAGAGAGAAAGAGAAGAGAAAGAGAGAGGAGAGACAGAGATAGGTGAGAGGGAGAGAGGAGAGAGAGAGAGAAAGAGAAAGGGAGGGAGGGGGGAGGGAGAGAGAAGAGAGAAAGGGAGGGAGAGACAGAGAGGAGAGAGAGAAGAGAAGAGAAAGAGAAGACAGAGATAGGTGAGAGAGAGAGAAGAGAGAGAGAGGGAGGGAGGGAGGGAGAGAAGAGAGAGAGAGAGAAAGAGGGAGGGAGGGAGAGAGAGAAGAGAAAGAAAGAGAGGAGAGACACAGAGACAGGCAGAGAAGACAAAGAGAGAGGATAGAAAGAGAGAGAAAGAAGAGAAGAGAGAGGTGGAGGGGGGCCCCATACCTTCAGCACAACATCTCCTTCCTGGATGTTGCCATCTTTGGCTGCCAAGCTGTCTTGAGAAATTTCTTTCACAAAGATGTGGCTGGCCAGGCGCAACCCGTATTCTGTGCCAAACGAAAACCAGAGATGTTGTCATCCCGGAACAAGGACAACACAACTTCTGTAAGCCTGATCTGTCTGCACACTGCCCTTTCCAGGCCTCTACCAATTCCCACAGAGCATGGCAGGACACATTTTTTTGGGGGGGTGAAGTTGACCCTTGTTCGATTCTTTTTTTTTTCTTTTTTTCTTCAGCAGATGGAGAAACTGCTGTCTCCTCCTTGGGTCAAGATGAGAGGCTGTGCAGGAGAAGACCTTCTCAGTGACGGTCTGTCCAAGTTGGAATGTTCTACCAATATATATCCAAAGCCTTCTTTATTTTTCTGGACTTCTATCCTGCCTAGCTCAGTGTTCTTCAACACTGGCCATTAAGATACGTGGACTTCCCAAGACCATTTATTTTTAAGATACGTGGACTTTTAACTCATAGGATTGTCTGGGGATTTATTGAAAGTTCAAGTCCAGACCACTCAAAATAGCCAAGGTTGGAAAACACAGTCCTAGGTGAACCACTTCGAAGTGCTGACCCTCCACAGAACTAGAAGAGAGGGATAAATCCATAGTTTTCAACAGCTGGGATCAACCCTGATCCAGCCCAATAGGACTTACTCTAGATTTGTCAGCCAGGGAAGGCTGGGCCACCGAATCCCTTATTGGTTTTTCTCTCCTTAAACTAGTGGTTTTTCAAACGATGTGAGGATGTGGTGCTCCCAAAAGATAAAAGGACTTGAGCAACCATCTTTCCCCACCCATGAATGAAGCAAATGATTTCACCGAGATGAAGGTTAGACAAGAAGCAAAGACGCCACTCCCTTGAGTTAATGAAACCTTTAATTTATGCATCGTAGGGATTTTCAGAGTTGTAACTCTGCAAGATTGCGTGAGGAACGGAGCATGCAACAAGTTTGGACATCAGTACTGAGGAGGAAGAGGAGGAGGGGGAAGAGGAGGAGGAGGAGTCAAAAAAGAGGAGGAAGGTGATTTCTATGCCATGTTTTATACATTTTTTGCCCACTCAAAGTCATGAGCCTAGCTAATATTTCAGCTCCCAATTCTGTCCACTACACAGAAAAACTCCTACTCTTAAGAGGAATACTTAGAGAAAGTTCTTTTTGGCAATAGGGAGTTACGTTTTCTAAACACGATGGGCGAACTTGCTAAGATTAATTCCCTACAGATTCCAATTCTTTGATGTTCTTGATCCATTTTCAAATAATTCAGCTAGAACATAAAGGGAACCAAGGAGGGGGGGAAGAGGGTTTAATTCTTTAACGAAGCCCACCCACCCAACCGAGGTGCTCCCAAGGAGTCAAAAGTACCTTCGTTCTTCCTCGATTTCACCAGCGTGACCTTCGTGGGTTTCGCGGGTTGGCTGGAAGCCGTGGACCTCCGGTCCGACCGTGGCGACACGCTCCTTTCTCGACTTGCACTCCGGTCCCTCGTCCAACTCTTCTCGTGCCTTCTGCTCGTAGCACCGTGGGAACCTCGGGGGTCGTGCAGTTCCTCTTCGTAGCTGTCCTCGTCGTTTTCAGAGACGGGGTCAGGATCCGTCCGAGTCACTGGGATATGGACTTTCTTCATTCTTCGGATGGTCTGGAAGACACGCAAGGCAACAGTGGATTTCTGGTAGGGATCTCAAGCTCGCCACATGCCAAAATAGCAACAGCCACAGCATTTAGACTTATATACCGCTTCCCGGTGCTTTTACAGCCCTCTCTCAGCAGTTTACAAGGTCAGCCTTTTGCCCCCAACAATCTGGGCTCTTCTTTTACCCACCTAGGAAGGATGGGAGGCTGAGTCAACATTGAGCCAGTTAGGATCGAACTGCTGGTAGTGGGCAGAATTAGTCTGCAATACTGCATTCTAACCACTGAACTACCATGGATGGATGGATGGATGGATGGATGGATGGAAGGAAGGAAGGAAGGAAGGAAGGAAGGAAGGAAGGAAGGAAGGAAGGAAGAAAGAAAGAAAGAAAGAAAGAAAGAAAGAAAGAAAGAAAGAAAGAAAGAAAGAAAGAAAGAAAGAAAGAAAGGGAAGGAGGGAGGGAGGGAGGGAAAATAAGTTGACCTGCTCCTCCGTGTGTTGACCTGCTCCTCAAATACTGGAAGGCTGCCATCCTGTACCCCCCTAGTCCTTCTTTTCTGTACACTAGCCAAACTCAAATCCTGCAACTCTTCTTCGTATGTTTTAGTCTCCAGGCCTTTAAGCCTCTTGGTTGCTCTTCTTTGTACTTCTTCCAAAGTCTCAACCTTTTTTTTTGTAATGTGGTGACCAAAACTGGATGCAGGATTCCAGGTGTGGCCTGACTAAGGCTTTATAAAGCGGTACTAACACCAAGCTACTCTACAGAGGAGAAGGTGTGGCATTCCCAACTCTGCCCCACTAAGACTGCTGCCTTGTTTACACAGCAAGCCCAGTGCAGGGAAGAGGGCCCAGGGCACCAACTCAGCCTGTCCTACTTCTGCGGAGCTGCAACCCCTCCTAACTCAGAGGTCTCCAAACTTGGCGACCTTAAGACCTGTGGACTTCAATTCCCAGAATTCTCCAGCCAGCAGTTTGGGGACCCCTGCCCTAACTGATCAACTCAAAGAGGGTGTCGTGTGTTACACATTGGAGGCCGGTCTGCCTTCGGGCCTTTTCTTCCGCGCAGCCATTTGGGCCAAGCACATTCCTTTCTGGTCTGCAACTCCCTTGTTTTAACGTTCAAGACATCTGATGCCTGCTTTGCACTTACCAGGGCTGATAAGCAGATTAAATACACACCCCTACCAAGCCAAGAGAGGGCTGGGCCTCCGTGTCGGCCAGGGCTCTTGGCAAAAGAACCCCTTTCCCCCACAGAGAGCTGTAGCTAATACTTACGCCATTTCATATTCAAGAGAACATTTAATGCATCCATGAACAAAGTTTATTTTAAGGCTTAGCTGGGATGGGTTTTCTACCACTGAATTGTCTTTCTAGATCACACCATTAACTCGCTGGTCTAACCAGTCATACACAGCTGGGAACAGGAAGTGTCCCCTTTTTCTTTGTCTACCTATCTGTCTGTCTGTCTGTCTCCCACTCACTCACTCACTCACATACACACGAACAAGACTGGGGTTGCCAGGTTCAAGAGAGGGCCATTCTACACACACTTGGCTATGGTCTCCACATCCATCCATCCATCCACTCATCCAAACTTTGAATGGCTGCTCACTCAACCCACAACTGGCTAACCAACAACGGAAAAACCAATAACAAGAGAACAACTTAAGATTTGGGGTAAAATTAAAAGCAACCCAATCTTGAGAAGAACCAGATCTTTGGGGCCTTTAGGCTGAAGGTTGGAACTACTGAATTTTGGTAAGGAGTGGGGGGAGGGGTGTCCCTTAGGGCAGGTGCCCCTCCCCCCTCCGAAATAGGCATGCTGCCTGGGTCCCATTAGATGGCATGATTTAATAGAAGAAACCCAGCATCCTGGTTTCCAAATTCTTTGCTCCAACCGTCTCAGTGTTGGAGCTACCAGCGCTTAAAAAGAATACACAAAGGGATTGAGCCAGCCTATGATAGATACACATCCTGCCAAATCACAAGCTAACACAATATGGCAACTGCTTTCCTGAAAGACAGGAAGTGTGGAGGGGGGGGGGAAGATTCCACTTACAATTTTGGCATTTTTCCCACTTTTTCTCAGCTGCTGGACGGCGAAAGCGTGTTCCACGTTATCCATGGAAACGCCATTAACCATCGCCACACGATCATTCTCCCTGAAAAGGCAAGGAGACAAGAAGGAAAATAAGAGAGCATCAAGTCAAGAAGACCCCTCCCTCTATCCGTAAAGGCAGGAGAACACAATTTGGTCAAATCCGCAGTAAGAATTGAGAGCCAAAATTCTTAAGTTCTTCAGACCACTTTTAATTTTTTGCATCGTTCCTTATTTTTTTTTTTTTTTAACACGCAGGTTCTCCCAGGCCCAAGGTGAAGAACAGGTGAAGCTCTGCTTCTCCTTCTCATGATTAGGGTCCCAACTGTGGTTGTTGAGTCGTGGGAGACTTGTCAACCCATTCACTCCAATGGTAGTTATGGCAGAACAGATGCGATTCTTGCAACAGCCTCGTGGAAAACGGTTGGATAAGGAGCAAATGGAACGAGTAGGGAGTCCTTCTAGAGAGGGTCCAAGCCCACTCCCCAAGGTTAAGGCAACACTTACTGCAACAGCCCTTCCGCTGGGCCTCCTTTGAGCACATCTGATATGACAATTGAGGTTTCACCGCTCTGGAAATGGGGGTTGTCTCTCCCACCGGATATTGCGATACCAAAGCCAAAGCCAGGCGCCTGAGAAGATCAGAAAGGAGGTTGAAGTCCTACCCTCCATCACATCGTCATTTTGAGCAAGGTGACATCTTTCTGTTGAAACACAATCTCAGGTGTTCTCCAACATCTCCTCTCCATGAGACTCCAACCCACCTTAGATCTCACACGACAAGGACTCTGAATTACACCTGTATGAGTGGGGTGCTAAAAGGTTTTTGGACCATTCCAACTCCCAATTGTCGTTTTTTTTTTTAAGGTAACCCAACCCTACTGCTGTTCCAACCCACCTGGATCTGTTAAAAAAGTTGGAAAGCTTCAATCCCATCAGGACCTGCCTTTCACTTCCCCACACAATTATACGCTACATCACAAACGAGCTAAACGATTCACCCCAATAATTTGGATATTACTAAAATGATTAAACATAAAGACTTATTGGACCCACAAGGAAATTTGAAACCGAGGCAGGAACTTCAGGAGCAAGGACAAAAAAAATTGATCAATGGGTTTACCTTCAGAAAGAATTTGGAATTAACAGTAAACTTCAACAATTAGATAAAATTTTATTAGGATCAGACAAAAAAAAAAAGACATAACAAAAACGAACGAGCTAAGGTGTGGTATAAATTCTTCCCTATCATCTGTGCCTGGTTAATATTAGAGACAGAGTATTTAGAGTAGAATAGTCGTTGATATGACCTACAGCTTCAACTCCCAGAATTTTCCAGCCAGCTATTCTGGCCCATAAGTCTTAAAGTTGCCAAGTTTGGAGACCTCTGACCTGTTATGTCTCCTCTTGGAAATTCAAACGAACAAACATAAAGCAGCCGTTTCACAATCAAATCAAACTGAAGGGAGTAACAAGATAACGGCTGGCAGAAACTGTTAGGACTCCCCTTCGAAATTCAAACAAACAGAGAGCTCTTTGCTGTAACATCCTCATTCAAAAATCATTTTGTTCCTGGCGAAATGCACCAGCTCAGCTGTGTCCTTTTATACCCATTAAGGCAACGTGCTAATTAACTGGCTTGCCCTTCAGATTAACGTTTCCTGGTTCTGACGTCAATCCACGATCTAACAGTCATCAGATTCAAAACTCCCAACAGGACCGATCCTTCCAATCACAACACTGACCTATAGGCTAATCAATCAACCAATATATAGTAAATAGAATAGAGCTGGAAGGGACCTTGGAGGTCTTCTAGTCCAGCCCCCTGCTCAAGCAGGGTAAAAACTCAGTACAATGCAAATACTGCTTTTATTTTTCACAGCGTCCCAAAGAACCAGTGTGAAAGATTCTAAATAACCGCTCGAGAAAAGCAACAAGATCTCCTTTGATCAACCTTCTTCCTGCTGGCTCAACAAAGCAAATTTCTCTGATCTTTTGATTTTCTGTTCAAAAAGTTGCTGGTCAAGAACAAACAATCCTATCCCTGGTTGGAGACATTAGCCAGTGAATTCCTAAATCAACTGCCAAAAGGCAGGAGAGGAGCCGAAGCGGTGAGAACAATAAACATTTTGGTTATAGTTTTACAAGCCATACTCAAAATATTTTACCCAGAGCACCAGCATCCGACCTTTAAGCCAGCCAAGTAGCAATTGTGGGAAGGCCAGCCACAAATATGGACATCACCAAGGAGTCCTAAACTCCAGATTTTTAAAAGGCAAACAACGCAACAGCTAGAAGCAAAAAACGGGTACGGAAAACCCAGCCTATTAAGGCTGATATGATGACTGCGGTCCACCGTTGCACAGCCAAGCCATCAGCAGGGGCCAAGGGAACAGCCTCTTGGGTGCGAATAAAAATAAGAAGCCCCTCCTCATTTGGACAGAAGAAAAAAAAAATGTTGGCCCGGGGATGCATAAGATGAAAAGCACCCAGATGCTTTCTCTTCCTCGATGGGATTCGGCTCATTGTGCGCAGAAAACATCACAACGGCAATAAAGCTTCCAAGATTATTTCTCACACAGTTGGGAAGACATTCTCTCTCTCTCTCTCTCTCTCTATTTTTCCCCTCTTTTTCATAATGAAAAGCAAGACTTGCCAGAATCCAGCTCCAAGCTGAAATTCTACTCTGGTGAAAGAAGAATGCCAGTCCCTTCACACTCCCTTCCCTTCCTTTGCCCGTATGACTTCTCTTCCCTTCCCTTTGACAATCGTTGCAATAACCAAATCCCCTTGCTTCAGAATTGTTGCATTTTTATGCAACACACTTGACAGTTTTGAGATGACCTTCCCTTAAAATGTTCACACGTTGTGTATAGGCGAAGGAGTCATAGAACCAGGGGCTGGAGTCAAAAGAGGAACCAACCTAGAATCGCTACGTAGTCACAAACGAACTAAGTCCAACCCTTCTTGACTGCCATTGACTTTATTTAACTCCAAGCGGGGGACTGACTATATATTAGTTGAGAAGATTCCCGTCCACAGGCTTTTAGCAATGAAGCAATTTAATTGGACCGTCATTTGTGGATCTGTTCTTTCGCACCTGGACAATGAGCAAATATTATGAAGTGTCTTTTTATTCCCATCCCCAAATGGCTATTCAGAAAGAAGAGCTTTCTCAAGATTGGGGTGACAACTAGAAGAACCTTTTCTCCAGAGCTTCTCTTAGAGGACAAGGGCTGTGTGTTTTATTCCGCTGTAAGAAGGAATTCAGGAGAGCCGAAAGATATAAACATCCTTCCTTCTTGTGTGAACGTTCTCTGCAGGCTACGCAGCACCAGGGTCGAGTCTCTCAAATGCAGACCAACGTCCACGTATATTTTTGCTTATTAACACAACCCATCCTAAGAACAACGGGCAGATTCTGCCTTAATGAAATATCAACATCAACATTTGACTTGACTTCCCATTTATGAAGTCAGTCAAGCGTTTCCCAACTTTGGTGACTTTTAAGATCAGTGGACTTCAATCTCAGAATTACCCAGCCAACATGGCTGGCTGGGAGGAACTCTGGGAGTTAAAGTCTTCCGCCTTTAAAGTAAACACTGCAGCACCAGGATTCGTGACTATCCCAGGTTGTTGGTTTGAAGGCCAAATCCTGGGAATATGTCTGGTAAGAAGGTGTGTGTGTGTGTGTGTGTGTGTGTGTGTGTGTGTGTGTGTAAGTTGTTGGGATGTTCCAAGAGGCCTGGTCATATTCAGAACTCCTTGTCGAGTCTTTTGAACTATTTATAGATTGTAGGAAGTTTCAATCAGCCATAATCTCCGTCGACCTTACCAAGGAGGAGGAAGAAAAACCCTCCCTCTCCGCACCGAGGTCATCTCCTTTCCTGCGGCTCTAATTTGGAAAGCAGATGCCCGTCCTGACAAGCCGAAGAGGTAATCTCCCTTTGACCAAATCCAAGTTTTAATCAAGAATTAGAGGAAGTGGAAATCTCCTCCAGGGCTTCTGTTTCCGTTGAGAAAAAAATGCCTCGCGCGTTGAAGATCTCAGAAAAGCTGTTTTTTTGTTGTTTTCCTACTCCCAGGCAGGAATTAAGAGCATCTGGTGAGGTTTTTTTATCTCCTGCATAGCTCCGAAACCTTCCCAGTTGGACTTCTGCTCCAGGCGGCCATCCGAGTAGCGCAGTTCCGCTTCGTAGAACGGTGACGGATTGAAGGCAGTAAATTGTTTCTCCCTCCCCCCAAACTCCATTCATCTCTGAATATATTCATGCAGGTAGTTCTCGACTTACAACAGTTCATTTTTGTGACTGTTCAAAAGTTAGAATGGCACTGGAAAAAAGGGGCGTACAACCGTGGCAGCATCAGTCATGTGATCAAAATCCGGACCGTTGGCACCTGACTGGTACTTATCGTGGTGTCCTGGGGATTGTTCTGACCCAGGCTTCGTCCAACGTAATTAATCACAAAGTTATTTTAAAAACAAAAACCTATTTTATTGCAATGCTGGGAATTGTTTTCATTCCCAGCCAGAATTAAACTCAAACAGTCCCCCGAGATAAGCACACACCTTCCAGTTCTGTGGAATGCTACCAAAAACAGAAGTATCCAATGAACTAGAAAAGAAACCAACCGAACCACAAGAAAAAAAACAACCAAAGTACACGGAGCTTCAAGGAGGACTTGGAATCTATTGAACTACCTTGCTTCCTGCAAAGAGTTTGTCATTGAGGTCTGACTTTTATCCCTTAAGGGAGGGGCAATCACTCCAAGCCTTACTCCCGAGTCGCCCTTTTTGTCTCAGTTGCTCTCGCCTTCTAGCAGCTCTGTGCACACGCACACTGGGAACAGGCTCCCCGTGTTCCTCTTCCTCGCTGCTGCCAGACTCCAAAGGCTCCGAGTCAGCACCCCACTCCCAGGTGGTCCTGGCCCCATCTCTGCACCGGATGCGGGACCCTCGTCCGAGTTCTCTCCAGATTCCTGGACTGGCCCATGTTCCTCCCCACTGTCCGATTCCGCTGCCAGCAAACCACAACAGGGATCATTTGATCATCTTTTGTGATCTTCTAATGAGACAAGTCGATGTGGGAGCCAGATTCAATGAGCAACCATGTTACTACAACATAACCACCGAGAAAGGCTGTACGATGAGGCAAAAACTCACTTCAATGTCTCACTCAGCAACAGAAATTTTGAGGTGAACTGTGGACGTTAAGTGGTATTTACAAAATTACTTTATTCCATCCTTTTAGCTTTGCAAAATGATCTTCCTCAAGTATTTTTTTTTTCCAAAAAAGAGAGGAAATTGAAAAAGCAAGCAAGAAAGGGAAGTGCCCAGAATCAATCATGCATTTAATTATTTTTTTTACCACACGGAAATACAAGGAGATGAATGAACTCGGCTTTCGGGGAAAGATTTCACTTAAGTTACCAATCTAGATTTCTAATGTTACAATAGCTTTATGGAGTAGTTCACAATGGTGTAATCCAACTAGGCCGGTGTTTAACCACACTTAAAGTGCATGTTGCGTACACCTCAGTGGATAATGACTAGTCATGTACAAACTGGTTCGGCTGCTGTTTAATTCTTGAGCAACTGAGTAATTTCTCTACTGGTTGGCCAGTTGGTCCTTTCAGATTTTTCATGTTATACTTCTTTTTTTAAAAAAATTCTCTTTTGGATTTTTTTTTTTTGGGGGGGGGGAGGAATCTTATTCCAGATAGTCCTTGACTTACAACCATTCGTTTAGTGACCGTTTGAAGTTACGACGCTGGGAAAAGTGACTTACGACCATTTTTCATACTTATGACTGTTGCAGCATCTCCGTGGTCATGCGATTAAAGTCAGACTCTTGGCAACTGACTCGTATTTATGACGGTTACAGTGTCCTGAGGTTATGGAATCCTCTTTTGCAACAAGCAAAAGTCCATGGGGACTCCAGATTCACTTAATGACCATGAGCCTAATCTAAGGACTGCAGTTTTGCTTAACAATTATTGCAAGAAAGGTTGTAAAATGAGGCAAAACTCACTTAACAACTGTCTCGCATAACAACATATATCCCAGGGCTCAGTTGTAGCCATAAGTCAAGGACTGCCTGCATAAGACCATTCAGGGATTTCTTCTGGGGCACCACAAAAATCTTTCTGGGAGAAAAGAGAATGAAAAATCAAAATAAAATAAATGAGAAATATTCCAGGGCTGAGGGACTATTTTTTGTACAATCGCTATCTTGCATTTGGGCCGTACCACAAAGCCGCCTTTATCAAACAATAAAGCACAATAAAACAATAAAGTGTTTAGAGAATAATTCTCGGGGGTGGAGGAAATCCCATTTAATTCTAAGTTGTGGGGGGAAAAAAATTGGTCACCTAAATTATCCTGCACTACTTACGACGACATCAATGTTGAACAAAAGAACAAGGAATTTTGCTCCGATTTTACCTTCTAAAAAGTCCTTATTTTTCTTGCTGCTTTCAAGAATAGCCCAGATTTGTGTCACTGTAGAAACTCACCCTGTGAAGCGTCACCGTGTGTTGTTCCCATATGGCAGTTTCTTCCATTGTTGTGCTCTGATTAAAGGAGAAAAGGAAGAGAGAGAGAAAAAATCAGAATTAATTTCACGAATTAAACTTTCCTAAAGCTGTAATCCGAAGCATGCACGCCAGCCACTTTCAAACCGCTCCCTGCTTCAAAGCCCAAGTCAAACCAACCGGGCCTTTTATGGCTTCTAAATTATGATCATGGTAGGTTTTTTTAGCTTTAAAAAAGGTTATTATGTGTGGTATACGCGATCGTTTTCGTTTTTGTAAAACCAAAAATTATAGCGAATCAATACAGTAAAACTCATATATTAAATTCTTTTAAAAGGCACGCAACTCCAAAAGGTTAACCAAACATAGCAGAAATCAGAAATTTCCCATTTTTTTAAAAAAATGTACTTCTTATATGTAAAAATCATTGGGTGCATAAAGATGGAAGGATAATGAAACACCCATATTAGAAGACTGAATTATAAAACTGACTGAGCTTGCAGAAATTGTGAAGCTGATCAGTTTGCTCAGGGAACAAACAAGCAATAATATATATATATTTTTAAAAGAAGCTAGAAGCCTTACATGGATTTTTTTGCTGAAAGAAGAAACAACTGAATTTACACTTTATGGATTTGAAGATTACAAATAGTTGGAGAGAGAGAGGAAAAAATAGTAAGTCAATTATTTGATAGAAAAAAGAGAGTCTAACGCCTTGTTTTCTTTCTTTTTTCACTTTTTAAAATCTTTTTCTTTGTTCTTCTTTTCAACTGTTACACCTTTGCTGCATTGAAAAATTCTAATCAAAATAGTATGCATGCGCATTGCAACTTTTCTCACAATCTTTTTAAAGAGCATACTGCAGAGAGGATTGGTTCCCTTTTTAAATCTGAAAAAGGAGTTTTGGGGCAGGTACGTTTGTTTGGAAACACCTTTCTGACATTGGATGCAAAAATTACCAAATCCCTAATTATGGCAAACCTCTGTGGACGGTCAGCCCTGTTGACAAAGTAGCAAACGACTTCAAGAGTCAACTTTCAGAGGGTTATCGGTGCCAGATGCCAACCCAGGACCTAATGGAAAACAGGTCAAGGCAAGATTGACTACAGCAGGGCTGGAGAATTCTGGGAGTTGAAGTCCACAAGTCTTAAAGTTGCCAAGAGACCTTTGGAGACCTCTGGACTACAGCAACCCTTGCCAAAAAAAAAAGAAAGTATTTTTTTGCATTAAATCGGGAAGTATTTCAGGGCCAATAATACTGAAAAAACCTTTTCTTTCACCCTCATTCCTCATCTCCCACCCCAGCAAAATGACTTGCTTGCAAACTGGGTTTCCAAAACTGTGAAAAATAAAAAGCGTTGGCCTTCGAGGGACACAACCCAAGCAGCAAAAGGCACGAATCTTCTTCACCCTGCACAAAATTACACCACCTCCATCTCAAGAGGGGCCTCACGTCACCTCGACGCCCTAAAAAGGAGCAACCAGATCCAGTTACTGTAAATTATGATGTCTGGTGCTTTGGGCTGGCTGTGCTTTTGGGTTTTTTGGATTTTTTTTTTACAAAGTGTCCCACCCCCTGGTTGCTTTGCAGGAGGGAGGGGATATTACCTGGCAAGGATTTTACTCCAGCCGGGAGGATTAGGGCACGTGAGCCACTGTGCTGGGAAGTCACGTTTAAACTGACACTGCAGTTAATCTGCTCTCTGGCGAACGCAGAACTCAACGGGCTTCTCCGTCACGCCAACGGATTAAAAAGGAAAAGAAAAAGGTTCCCATCCAGTTTTAATTTATTTATTTTTTTCCCCTTAAGTGAGAAGGCAGCTGGATCAGAGGTACTCTTGCAATTTAGGGCTGCGAAAGTAGCTCTGATTTTAGAAAGGATAAAACCAAAGCGCAGGAGAGAAAATAAAGGAGTCCCCCCCCCCCCCAAAAAAGGAGAGAAAGAGAGAGAGAGAGTTTTTAAAACCTCTAAATCTTCCCTTGTGAGAAGCGACCCAGTCTTTTAAGCCTGGCATCTTTCAGGGGTGACCTTGCCAAGGCTATTTTGTAAGGAGCGACAAAGAGAAAAGGGATGAGAAGAATAACCCGGAAGCTTTTAGACAGGGGAAAAGAACAATTAACGAATTGTTCAAAGCTAAACGGCGGGGAAGGAGAATTTTGTAATATTGATTTTTTGTACTTTGGTGCCAACCAGATGTGTGCCAGTGTCAGGGTTCGCAGAGAAAACCGTTTCTGCATCATATACAATGTCTTTCGCCGAACCAGAATTTGAAAGGATTAAAACGCCACGTTGGGCGTTCATTCTGTGTTTTGTAGGGACCCAGGTTAAAGTTGTGTGATTTCAGGCTTTGTGTAACAACCCATGTCAACAGGCAAGGGTGACTTTAAAGAAAGAGACGAGCGGCAAATCTTTCCCCCAAATTGATTTTTGTAAAAAGGTGCAACCGACTGAATTTTGATTTAACGCTTGCTGGTGGTATCTGATTATTCAGACAGGTGGAAAAGTCAAGATTGTCACTTCGGAAGATCAAATATGCTATCCGATTTCTTTCAAGAAAAATCCTTCCCATTCCTTTTGCCTGTATTTCGCAAATATCAGTTAGCGTTCAGTTCGAAGTGTGCGAGGCATTGCTATTAAAAACAGTCTTTTAATTAGGAAACAAAAACATTGACCAGAGTTGGACTAAAACAACTTTTCTACTGCCATCTTGCGCGTCCCCATTCTGCCAGTTTAAAAATGCCAGTCTTGGCACCAGGGAAGCCCCACTTAAATACTAGTTCACGCAGCATTGGGAAAAAAAAGAAACATCCAATGATTTATCCCAATTCTGTCAGGACACTTCAGAAATTTAATTGTTTGTTTATTTGTATTGCATATAGTTCTTAACTGCCCTTCTTCCAAGAAGAGCGCTGGACGGTGTTCCATTTTAACCAACAAAATTAAATGTTAAAACCCAAATCATTTAAAATTAAAAGTTTTAAAGTTACACATTCCATTTGTCTTGGGATTCCAAAATGAAAAAAAAAAATAAATCGTTTTTCTGATTCCTTGGAACAGCCTGGACAATCTTAGGCAGCCAGAAAAAAAACAATGCTTACAAAACTTGGGAACGGGTTCAAATATTCTGTAAACAAACCCCAGCACTGTTTGAAAGATCACTGGGAAAACACACACGCACCAATTAAGTGAGACACAAGGATTACATTGAAAAGGCAAGGCTGCAGTTTTGCGGGGAGCGTTGATAAAATATTGACCTGAAGCAGCAGCCCGGGGAAAAGACAAAATAATAATAAAATGTAAGTTGCTTCTGGGATCCGAAGACAGTTGTTCCCTATTTTTGCTGGAAATTTTCAGCAGGCTTTTTTGCGCTTCCGGAGGACGAGGCCCGAAGCAACCGGTTTTCCAAATGAACACAGGATGTTGCTGTTGGTATTGTGTGTGCTTTGAAAAAAGAGTGCAGGCAGTATTGTATCAACAAAGGCTTATCTCCCAAACCAAAACAGGAGGGGGTTCCTTTTTCTTAATCTTTACTGACCATCGAGGAAGGGAAAAGGAAAAAGAAAGAAAGGAATCTACGAAGACATAGAAATTAACCTCCACCAGTTTACTGAGATTTTATGGGGGCCTCAATTCGTTTCCTTTGGGTTTGCCTTAAAAAAGTTTATTTTGCTTCTCTTTTTGGATCGATGGAGCGGAAAGTAGGGTGGGTAAATAAAACAGCCATAGAGGAGGCAGTGATCGGATTCAGGCAAAAAAATAAAATAAAATGCAATTTTGCTCCAAAGAAGACGACAAGCCTTTGAAATGATGAAGCTTCTGCATCGCCCTGGAAGGATCAACACAGAAGGAAAATGCCAACGAGGCTGAATATTGATCTCAGAATACAACTGCAGATGTTCAATGGAAATCTGGATTATTTCAACCAGATCACCAAAAGTTTAGCCTCCTAGATCAATGGGGGTCTTTCCACACACACACACACACACACACACACACACACACACACACACACACACACAC